TTCTGGTTAACTATCCCAACTTATGTGCCACTGCATTATATAGTAACTTTCTCTATCATATATAATTCTCCAGTAAGAAAAATAGTCTAGAGTACACAAGTATATCTAGGAAGTAGTTTTTTTCATTTAAAAAAATTGAGAATGTCATATATGCATATAAGATGTTTTGGTCAAATCCACGCCTGCTCCCTCTCCTCCAACTCCTCCCATATCTCCCCATCACTCTTTCCTGAACAACTTCGTGTACTCTTTCTTTTTTTTAATGGGGATTTTTGCTGCTCTAACATTCCCCCCCTCTGAAGAGGTAACCCTAAAATCTTTTGGGGATTAGAGAAGAGCTCCCAAATACTTTGACATGTTTGGCCTTTGGAACAGAGTATGTTGCTAAGAGGCCCAAGCACATTTTGACTTTTAGCCAAGAAACTGGCTACTTTTCTTTGGGGTCTTTTTACCCTAATTGCCTAACCAATTCCCACCTCCTATTCTTTTTTTGAATTTATTTAATAATCACATAATTAGTAGAAGCATTTCATTATAACAGCATTGACATAGTCAATAACACTTTCCAGAGCAAAGATGCATCTCTTTCAAAATTGGCTGTAATTTTTAGGTTCACAGTGTTCAATTAATATAGTTATACATTATTGTATTCAGTATAAACCCTCTAAGACATAAAATTAAATGAGGTTTTAACCTTTAAAAAAGATCTCCATTTCATATTAAAATATACTAGTTCATACAGAAAAACTCATTTTTAACACTTAGATGTTTGCACATCCGTCTCTAATTTCTATATATCTGATTATTACTAGTCACAGTCGGTTACTTTCTGAGATCCTTGGCACCTGAGCATGGATATAAATTCATCAGGTAGATTTCAATGGTAATATTTTTCATATCTACTAATTAACATGAAGCACATTTTTATGCTTCTTCTTTAAATATAATTCATTTTTATTGATTTTTTTGTGTGTATTTCATAAAGAACATCCCAAATAATCTTATTTATCTTTACACTCACATCCCAAATGTCACCCTCCCATAGCCCCCCCCACTCGAACCCATTATATTCTGTCATCCCTGTTACTGTCCACTGTGTTCTCAGTGTCCCCAGCCATTCCCCAGTGAAAGTCCATCCACTGAGTCTAGTCATCCTATCTAGAGTTCCTTGTTTTAGGAAGATTAGCTCTTCCTCATCTAACAGCAATCAGTTGCCAGTATTCCTTTAGATAAGATTGGGGTCTATTGTTCATTTTCCCAGTTCTATGCTGGGTTACTGTCTGGGAGCTTCTTGGGACACCCAGGCCAACAACTCAAAGGAAGGTATCTTCTGGCATTGTTTCTTGTTATATAGCCTTTAGCTATACACATGGACTCTTAAAGAATCATATTGATCCCTTTAATCTTTGGTTATACTTTCCTTTTGTGTGTTTAAAACCATACAGTTGGCCAAAATAAACCAATTTATTTTTACTCTTTAGGTCGTTTGAGGATCTGTTCCTCAGGGGTCACAGGGCCTGGGAGGAGCCCCTGGCTCCTGTCTTTTATCAGTTCCATCTATGTGAACATAAGTCAACGGTCCTACTTGACCGTAGCTGGCTTCACTTGGAAGCATGAAGGAAATGTTTCCTCTGCGTTGACCCTCCTTTTTGTAGACTGGACACTGGTTCAAGTCCATCTGTTGGGGTCTTCACAGCCTCCTTGATCAAGAGGACACGTGACTCACCATAGTTACAGGACATTTTGAAGGATGCTCATAGTTCCCTGGAACTTAGTTGACCTTGGAGGGCAAGGAGCCAAAACCGTCCTGTAAGTCCCTCTGACCAGATTAATATGGGCATCAAAGTAAGGCTGTTAAACGCCCAAGAAGATTAGTTCCACTATTCTGGTACTTTTAATTACCATGTGCTATGTAGATAAAGCTTGAGCAAAAACCAAATGTTCTCAGATGAACCTTGACTAGACATATATTTTGTTCTTGGAGCTAGTTGTATGTATAGTTTGTCAGTAGGCTATTGGACTAATATGGTTCCCTCTTATTTTTTTAAAACCAGCTAGGCATTATTTATCTCTTTCATAGTCTAACACTTCCACCATGGTTTCCCCATTTACAGTGCCCCGGTTTTTCCCATTTCTCCCTTAATAATACCCTTCTTCTATGGTCCCAACTCTCTTGAGCTCCTTCTTTCCCTTTATCCCCAAGGTTCATCATATAACCCTCCCTCCCCTTTCACATTAAAATAACTCCATTTTCATCCATATCTCTCTTAGCAACACATGTTTCCTATTGTTCTTCTCTTTCAGGTTCTTTCTTTACCTTTACCTCCCTGGTTCCTTTTCATTGTCCTGGTTCCTGTAGTTATGTCTAGATACATACTCAAAGGATTTGGTTCTAGGATCACAATATGAGGGAGAACATATGTCATTTGTTTTTCTGAGTCTGTGTTACTTCACATGGTATAATATTTTCTAATTACAGCCATTTACCTGCAAATTTCATGATTTCATCTTTCTTTACTGCTGAGTAGAATTCCATCATATAAATGAACCATATTTTCATTATCCACGCATCAGTTGAGGGACACTTAGTTTGCTTTCCTGTCTTAGCTGTTGTGAAAAGAGCAGCAACAAACATGGATGTGCAAGTGTCTCTGCAATAGGATGAGTTATTTGGGTATATGCCAAGGAGTGGTATAACTGGGTCAAATGGTAGGTTCATTTTTAGTTTTTCGAGGGTTCTCCCCACTGCTTTCCATAGGGGTTTACACCATCTCCTGAAGAGGTTACCCAAATTGCTGATAGGGAATCAGGACACAGACTGCTCTGGCTTCTTCCGTGCTGAACTGGGATGCAGGGTGAGGCAATTGGGGTACCCCTTCAGTGGGTCTATCTAATGACTCCCAGATTATATAACTCTTAACTGTAGGGAAAAAAGAAAGTCCTTGACTGGTGAATAGGGGATGTGAAGGAGAAGTAAAGGCCAGAGTAGTTAGTATTACAAGTTCTAGACAGGGAACCCGAAAAAAGTCAAAACAGGGCAAATTTCAAATGTTAATATTAGAGTCTCAGAAGCACTTTTTAAAACCAAATGGCAAGTTAATGCATTAAGTTTTACAAAGTTCTATATGATTGTATACCTTACATTCTCAAAGCTATCCAAGAATACTGTAGTTTAGAGCAAATATTTTCATTCTTCCCAGCCCTTGGTGTAATATAAGGCTCATTCTTTTCTTTTCTTTTTCTTTGGGTTTTTTGTTGTTGTTGTTGTTTTTTTTTTTTTTTTTTTTTTTTTTTAAAAAAAAAAAAAAAAAAAAAAAAAAAAAGAGGACGATAAATCTTTCACTGTGATATATCAAAATAAAGTTGGCCTGGAACTGACCAGGCTGGCCTCAAACTCACAGAGATCTGCCTGCCTCTGCTTCCCGAGTCCTGGGACTAAAGGCATGTACCACCATGCCTGTCAGTGTGTGTGTGTGTGTGTGTGTGTGTGTGTGTGTGTGTGAGAGAGAGAGAGAGAGAGAGAGAGATGTGTGATGTGTGTATGCAGGTTTATAATGTGTGAACATAATTGCATGTGTGAATGTGTGCATATGTGTTGTTCCTTGCCTTCAACCTTGAGACAGGATCTCTTGTTGTTTGCTGCTGCATATGTCAGGCTGGCTCTCACACATCCAAGGAGGCTTCTGTTTCCACTTCCCATATCACCATAAGAGTGCTGGGATTACAGGCATGCACTACTTTTCCTGGCTTTTTATGTACATAGTGGGAATTTGAACTCAGGTCTTCATGCTTGTGTGGCAAGTACTTTACTCACTGAGTCATATCCTCAGCCCCAATGCTCATTCTTGACACCAGGTGGCAGCTAGAGAAAAGGCATCTTAAGAACAACGTCAACCAAACCTGTAGAATAGAAACCTATTCTTAGAGATGTGTTCTGTATGGTCTAGAGAATAATCTATGATGGCCATATTTTCAGCTTTAAATAAATGAGTTTATTAAGTTTATAGTAAGATAAAATAAAAGGAGATAGAGAGTGAGAGAGAGAGAGGAGAGAGAGAGAGATCGATCATCAAATCTGGTACTCAAAACAGCCAGCAGAAATCCACTGGGGAAACCAAATTAAGACAGTCAGCTGGAGTTCCTCATTGAGAGTCCCAGGCAGAACAGAGTGTTCCCTTAGGTAAGTTTCCAAGTAAAAGAACAAGTAACAGCAGAAAGGTAATATTATCAAACCAGGCTTACATTCAGCAGAGTCTGACTGGGGAAGCCCCATTAAGGCAGTCTAGAAAGTTTCAGACAGGATAGAGTTTCCCCTTGAGTGAGGATTCCAAATAAAAGAACAAATAACAGATAGAGAGAACATCATCCGATGGGGTCCTCACACTATCCATCAGAAACTGCCAGGAGAAATTGCAGTCATCTGGAATTCCTGATTGAGCTTTGTCTCCATGGAGGAGCTTCCCAGAGCTGAACTCCCAACTTCTCTTTCCTAATGCAGGTACTTTTACATCATGGGATTAAACAATAGTAACCTCTTTTAGAAGTGGTATACTTTCTAGCTGTCCTCAAGAGCACAATGTCGCCCTTTTGTGCTGCTTTTCAATTCTTTTCCCACCCTGTCCCAGAGTTGGGGGGTAGCCCATCCCTAGAGAAGGGGCCTTGAAAGTGTACTTTGAGACACATATACTTGGATCTGAAATGGTGGGGAGGCAATCTTTCTTGTAGATCCAGTTTGTTAGTGATCTCAAGAAATACATGGCGATTTACCAATACAATGTACCTTACTTACAAGATGAGATTTCAATGTAAGTCTTTGATGATTCATCTTGCTACCAATGGGAGAGAATTTGGGGTTATGTGCTCACTTGGAATTACTGCAATCACTTCAAAAACACTGAATTTTTTTAAAGTGCATATAGTTGCTAACACTAGTGTTCTCTCTCTCTCTCTCTCTCTCTCTCTCTCTCTTTCTCTCTCTCTCTCTCTCCTCTCAAATTTAGGTTACCGGATTCGCCTGGGTTCTAGTACTGACAAAAAGGACACCGGCCGCCTCCATGTTGATTTTGCACAGGCTCGGGATGACCTGTATGAGTGGGAATGTAAACAGCGAATGCTTGCAAGAGAGGAACGCCACCGTAGGCGAATGGAAGAAGAAAGACTTCGCCCACCATCCCCACCCCCAGTGGTCCACTATTCAGATCACGAATGCAGCATTGTTGCTGAAAAACTAAAAGGTATAGAAGGCATTCAAACTCCATGATTAAAAGAACTCTTTGGGGGGGGCAGATAGATGGCTTGGTGGTTAAGAGCACTTCTCTCACAGAGGACACCGGTTCAGTTCCCAGCACCCACATGGTAGCTAACAATTATCCATCACTCCAGTTCCAGGGGATCTGATGCTCCTGATGCCTCTTCCTGGCCTCTGTGGGTACAGGACATGTACATGATATACTTATATACATGCAGGCAGTGCACTCACAAAAATAATATTTTTTAAAAACGGAATACTTTTCTTGCGAATATTTCATAAATATCATTGTGTTGTTGCCAGCTACCCTTTGAATTTCGTACTAATAGTAACTCAAGAACCCAGAAATGTGTTTCTGCTCTTTCATTGTCTCAAAGGTTGACATTTTCTCTCCAGATGTCAGATGACTAGGAAGAAAGGTTTTTTGTTTTTTTTATTTACCACACCAGAGAATTTTAGATATGATTCATGGCTTAGGATGTATACATGTCCCCTTTCTGAGTGGGTACAAGTTACATTTGAATTTTAATTGGGGAGGTGTATCAGCACAATAGAACTGGACATGACCCTGAAAAACTCCAATAAAATTATTTTAAAGGTGAGAGAATGAATTGGTGTGGTAGGGGATGCCTATAATGTCAACACCCAGGAGGCTGAAGCAGGAGGATCACTGAGAGTTTCAGGCCAGCCTGGTTTTCAGAGTGAGACCCTGTATCAAAATAAATAAGCAAACAAAGATGACAAAATGAAGGCCCCAAAATTACTCATAGTGTATATTCTTCAATTTCTCAAACTTAGTCACTACCAATGTAAAGAAGTCTTCGTCATTGTTAAATGCCAAATTATTTCACAAAGCAACTATGGAGACTTCTTGGTATTGCTAGGCAAGACTCTTTATCCTTTAGTTTTGATTCCTCTTCTTGCTTGATTCTCAGAACAATTTTGCTAATTCGATGTTAATTGCCCTGCTTGTTCTCTTGTCTTAGTAACTCAAATCCATTCTCGAGTACAGTTGATTTTATTGAGTGAATTCTGGTGTCCCATTGATCGTTCTGATGACACTGACCCAGCTCTAATGGTATGAATTTGCTCTGCTTCTGTGCTTCCATCTCAGCCAGAGCCTGCTAATTCTACTTTCCAAATAAGTCTCACTTTCCAAACTTGTTTATATCACATAACCTCAAGGATTCACACATTTAAGAAATCTCTTTGGATTGATTTTGACTTTTTTCAAGGAAAGAATAGAAAACATAAAGTCCAGAACTGCACAGAAATAATGGTACATTTTGAAAAACTGGAAAAGCTTTTACATTGGTAAGGTGCTAGTTCCAAGACTTGTCTATTCACATGACATCAAACAAGACAGTTCACATTTTAAAACAATGAATTTGCTGGATTCATTGCCCTCAAGAGAAGCAACAGGCCCATCAACATAAAGACTGTATCCAAGTAATGAAATGAAAAGCTGTTATACAGGGAAGGCTCATCTACTGTTGTGTTTATACCAAAAGGTGGGGCGGGGGCCAAGGGACAAGAAAATAAAATTGCAGGGCAAGATATTTCTACTTGACTAAGGGCCTCTGGCCAGAGAGGGGTGTGAAGCTCTAAAATAGGACTTTGTTGCATGCTGTTGGACTGTCCATCTTAGGAGTCTATAAGAACAGAATGTGAATATCGCTAGCTCAGAAAGCTGGACTAGAAGCTTTGGAAGAGCTCTGCTACCCTGTTAACATTACAGGGTAACTCCCAATGAGCTGCAGAAAGCTACTTGGAGGTGTCTTCAAGCAAGAGAAAAAGGATGTGGAGACATATCGAAATAAAAAGGAACTGCATCAAAATAGATTGTGGCTGGGAGTGAGTGGAAGGCCTGGAGCTATGGATTGGATTCAGGGGCAATGTTATACAAGGTTGAAGATATAAGTGCTTGTATCTAAAGAGCTACACACTTGTCCCTTTCCTTGTGCTCCTTCCAGCACTCTAATTCCATGGATCCAGGGTAAATTACTGACAGAATCAACCTAAACTCAAGATTCATATTGGGTTTTCCTTCTTAATATGTGAGGTTATAGAATTGTGACATTCTCTCTCTATTAATTCCTCTCTCTCCCTCCCGCTTCTCTCAAAAAATCAGAGAAAGTAAGAAATTTCCATTACATGAAAACTATAATGTAAAAAAGGTTTTGTTTGAGAAGTGTGTGTGTGTATGTTTTCTGGGGATGGAACCTAGAGCTTTACATGTACTAAACTTATAGTCCCCCACTAAGCTACAGTTCCAGAAATTTTATTAAAGAAGCTATCCTCTTTCTAAAACTCTCCAGAAGCCGTAAAATCTGACTAGTCTTTCATTGTTTGTGCCTTTCTGCCACCTGCTGCCTGTGTTTACAAGTATGCTTGTGAGATCCCTTACCTTCATTAATTCATAAACACATAACTGCCAAAAAACCCATGGTCATCTCCTTACCAGCATATTGGGAAACTTGATTGAGATTTGGTCATTTTTATGGTCTAAAAAATAAAGTCAGGGCTGGAGAGTTGGGTCAGTGGTTAAGAGCTCATACTGCACTTCCAGAGGATCTGAGCTTGGTTCTCAGCACCCACAGTGGGAGGCTCACAACTGCCTGTTACTCCAACTTCAGTAGATCTGATACCCTCTTCTTACTTCCTTGGGCATCTAGACTCATGCAAAGACTCATTCACAGACAATACATACATATTTAAATATTATATATACATATGTATGTACATATAATAGAGTATATTAAATCAGACAGGGGACATTAGCGGGGTGAAAATAGGGGAGCAGGTCTAAATATGAGCGATAAAAAATGAAAAAATTCATATGGGCAAGTCAAAGAACTATTGGCAGCTAATTACTGCTGGATGAGGAAGAGTTGATCTTCTTTCAGGGAGAGAGTCTAGATAAGCTGACTAGACTCCAGGGGGTGAACTTGCTCTGAGGGATATCTTGGTACACAAGCTTGACTCAATAGGTCTTAACATATATGACAGAATGTACAAAATTCGGTGGGGGTGCGGATGGGGGAGGAAGTGTAAATATGATTAAGATGTTTTGTATGAAGTGCACAAAAATTCAATAAAAAATATACATTGAAATTAAAAAATCGGTAAAATAAGCTCTTTTGTTTCAGATGATTCCAAATTCTCAGAAGCTGTGCAGACCTTGCTCACCTGGATAGAGAGAGGAGAGGTGAACCGTCGCAGTGCCAACAACTTCTACTCCATGATCCAGTCGGCCAACAGCCATGTCCGCCGCCTGGTGAATGAGAAAGCTACCCATGAGAAAGATATGGAAGAAGCAAAGGAGAAGTTCAAGCAGGCCCTTTCTGGAATTCTCATTCAATGTGAGTAGAAGTTAGAGTTCTGCTGGAAGGCTGAGAGGCTCCTTCACTTAATCACCACTTGCTGTACACAGATCCCAGCCCTGCAGAGCTTTGTGCTCTCCTTATATTGTCAAATGCCAAAGCTCTGATTTCACAGGATACATGTGAACAACTATTCTCATTTTCTCTGCTATATCTTCTTCAGCTCTGCAGAAACACCAATATATAGACCACAACTCATCTTTTTATAGGCCCAGGCCTCAGTGGAGGATTAGATATTTTATTGCTGAAGTTAGTGTATAACATTCAGATATTAAACTGCTTTTCTTCAGGTTTGTATGATTATCATCGTGTAATACAATTTTTAGGAACTTATGGTGATAAATGAAATTATATCTTTCCAAGATGATTGGATTGAAAAACCAATCTGCTGCTTCTACATTTTCTGTTTAGTTTCTTTTCTTCTGTTAACTTTGCTGAATGTGATAGTCACTGTGAAGGTGAGAAGCCATTGAAATGGCTGTTTTTAAAAACAAATACCACTTCAGATCTATTCAGGTTCTCTTAGATGAGATAGATCAGTTACATTCTTAAGTATTTTTTTTTTTGTTCACTACATAACAAAATTATATGCTCATGTATTTTCAACAAGGAAATATATTCACCTTAAGCATAAGGGTAGTGCTGTGGTGGGACACATCTTTATCCCAGCACTTGCAAAACAGAGGCAGGCAGATCTCTGTGAGTTCAAGGCCAGCCTGGTCTACCTAGCTAGTTCTACACCAGCCAGGGCTTCGTAGTGAGACCCTGTCTCAAAATAAAAAAGGATGTGGACAGTTTTTTATGGTTTTGCTTTTCAGCAGTTGTGGCCCAGTCTCCTGTACTTACCCTTCCATACTTGACTCACACATAATTGGGATTAAAGAGGAGTTCTGTTCCACTTATATTTTAGAAGTAATATAGACAATAAAACCCAACAGGGGAAAGCACATGTCTTTAGAACTTCAGAATAAGTATGAAAACAGAACAGCAAGAATTGTGAGAGTATAAAACTTTAAATCATTAGAGCACAGAGTGAAAACATGGCTGTAAAGAAAAAAAATGCCTCTGGATTTTTCTGTCTGTGAAAAGCAGAGATTTTACTCCTGATTTTCTTTTCCCAAAAGAGTCATATCTAAGCTTATCCTCTTGAGCCAGTGAGATGACTCAGTGGGTAAAAGTGTCAGCCTCCAAGCCTAAAGGCCTGAGTTCTGTCTGCAGAAATTACATGGCAGAAGGAGAGAACTGACTCCTGCAAGTTGTCCTCCTACCTCCGTATACGCATGTACACCTACTCCTCCCACCATGAAATTAAATACATGTTTTTAAGCTTTTAATAGACCTTGAAAGAACTCTCCAGGACTGCACTGACACAGATTTCTATCATAAGACTTTCTCCAGTCAACAAGTCTATACAGTTATACTAAATATTGATAAACTCAGTCATTTTAGATTGCTTTACTGTTTTTACTGAGCTTTCATATATTTCATAAAACAGTTCTTACTCAAATTAAGACCCTCTCTCCCATCTATGTCCCCATGACCCCTTACTGGGCCTCATCTCTTCTTCCATACATACTAAGTCCTAGCCAGCCAGGCATTTTACCTGATATCCTTCAGTGCAAGTTCATCCACTGGAGTCTATTTAGTCTGTCTAAAGATCTTAAGGAAGGCCTACTCTCCCTCATCCAGCAGTAATCAGTGTCCAGCAGTTCTCAGGCTAGGGCCAGCTAGCCACCCATTTCCCTCACACCACTCTGGGCCCTTATCTGATTGAGTTGGCATGGGCCTTGTGCTCGACACCACCATTGTCACAAGTTCACAGAGCAAGCCTCTGTTTCCCTATGTTCATGGACCAACCCTGGCTCTTACAATCTTTCCACCCCTCCTCTTCTGCAGTGGTCCCTGAGCTCTGGGTAGGTGGGGTTTAATATAGGAGTCCCATCCAAGGACACATACTATGCAGTCTCTTAGTCTCTAAAACTTAACTGGCTATGGCCTTCTGTGTGCATCACACTCTGTTCTATAAGGAAGCTTCGCTGGTGAGAGCTGAGGGATACACTAGTATTCTCTCCACCTCCTGTTCCACTATGTTCCATGAATTTTAGGTGTAGAGGTTCCACTGTAGATATGTCATCTAGGACTGGGCATCTCTCAGACGTATATTCTCTGTTTCTGACCAGTTGTGTGATTGTGCAGTAGCCTCCATCTGTTGCAAAAAGAAGCTTCTTTGATGACTTGTATGCTGTATACTTGTCTGTAAAGGATCCATATTTAGGATATGGTAAGAAATTTCATTTGTCTAGAGATATGACAGAGATATGGTTTTCTCTAGTATCTATGACCTCTTCAGCCGTGTGTATTTGGGTATAATTACAGTGCCACCCATGAATTCACTCCCATTGTGTTTAGATTTTTATTTGATACTGCTGGTTAAACATACATTAGAAGAGTGAAAATTTTTATTTTAAGATTTATTTTTATTTTATTTCTATGAGTGTTTTGCATGCATGTGTGTATATATGCTACATGTGTGCCTGGTGCCCATGGAGGCCAAAAGAGAGTGTTGGATCTCCTAGAATTGGAGTTACAGACAGTTGTGTAAAGCCATGTGGGTGCTGGGAACCAAACTTGGCCCTCTGCAAGAACACCAGCTCTTAACCACTGTCCTACTTTGTTTCTCCATTGCTGTGACAAAACACTGACCACTACCAACTTGGGGAAGAAAGGGTTTATTTATCTTACATTTCCTGGGTCATAGTTCATCAGGGATCCCAAGGGAGGAACTCAGGGCAGGAAACTGGAGGCAGGAACTTGAGCACAGGCCATGGGGGATCGCTACTTAGTAACTTGCTCCCCTGGCCCCTGCTCAGCCTGCTTTCTTATGCAACACAGGCCTACCTGCCCAGGGGTGGCACCACCCACAGTGGGCTGGGCCCTCCCACATCACACAACAATCAAGAAGATGCCCCACAGATATGGCCATAGGCCAGTTCAATGGAGGCAATTCCCCAATTTACAACCCAGGTGTGTCAAGTTGACACTAAAGCTGTCTAGCACAACCACTGAGCCCCAACAGATTTTAATCCAAGTAAAACATTACACTTTATTTCACAGGCTACTTAGTAAAAGTAGGCAGTGAATATGTATAAAGCACAATTGTGTGTGTTTGTATATGCGTGTGTATGAAAATGTTATAATGAAACCCATAGTTTTATGTTAACTAAAAATTAATTCAAAATAATAATAAATAAATAAATTAAAGGGATCCAGTGTTATAGTTGCTGATATAGGTTTCCACAGTGCTATGCAGAGTCAGTATCACTCAACACAAAATCTGAACTAAAACACATCTATTTTTACTCTTGCTTCTTTTTTCCCAAATGAATACAAAATGGTTGTTTTAAAACTTTGGTCACCATTTCAACCAAAACCTTCTGGAATTTACATTTTTCTTTGTGTGTATTGATGTCTCTTTGAATTTCCTTTAATATCCATAATATCCACTGTGATTTGAGTGTGATATGTCCCCCATAGGCTCATATATTTGAATACTTGGCCCTCAGCAATGATGCTGTTGTGGAGGGTTGTGATACCGTTAGGAGGCATAAAAGACATAGCCTCACTGGAGCTAGAACTTCACTGGGGAGCAGCCTTGCAGTTTTAAAGCCCTATCCCACTTCCTGTCTACTCTGCTTCTTGACTGGTGTACACTTAGGAGAAACAGCTTCACATTCCTTTGACTATGTCTTCCCTACCATGATTAAGTCTATCCCCTTCTTGAACCATGAGCCAAAACAGACCCTTCCCTGCTTCAGTTGCTTTTTGTCAGGCACTTTTGTCACAGACCTGAGGAAAGTAGCTAATACAGTGCCTCAACATAAGCAGTCTTATCCAAGTACAACCACAGCCTGATTTGTGTCCTAACAATACCATAAAACAAATCTCATGTTTCTCTTTTATTTTTCCTCTCTTTCTATCCCTGGATGATGATTTGGCCTCATCTGACTGCCAATTTGATACTGCAGTTGAGCAAATAGTAGCTGTGTACCATTCTGCTTCCAAACAGAAGGCATGGGACCACTTCACAAAAGCCCAGCGTAAAAACATCAGTGTCTGGTGCAAACAAGCTGAGGTTGGTAACTTTGTACTTGTGTAGCTCCTCATGAGGACAGTTTGTTTGTTTGTTTGTTTTCTGCAATAAGTTATTGATTTGGAGTTTAACCAGAATCAAATAGTACCAAGCTCCCATGGTCTCAACAAAGCCCATATGAATCACTGAGATGTGTTCTGTACCCTGTCAGTTTCCAGACCACCTGCTGTCACAAGGGTAATAAATGTGCACATGTTGTCTTAAATACATCCTGATGAATGGAAATCTTAGTAGTGAAACTGTAGGTGGGATCATTGTAAGTTTATTTCTCTACACTAGCTGGTCTTGAGTACAATAATAATTTCTGACCTGTACTTCTAGCATTATTAATATTAGGGCTGTCTTCCATTTGTTAGTGTCTTGACAGTTGAAGCTAACACTGCCTGCTGTTACACTGGTACAAAGAAATTTGCGAGCATTTCTTATCAAATCTGTTTAGCCATCTTTATAAGTGGCAGATTTAAAGGTAAAAGAGGACTCTGATTTCAGATTAAGGCTGATATACCTCTCTGCTTGTGCTCAAGTAGCATTTTAACTTAAAACTACTGTACGTGTGATGTGATCAAGTTATTATCCTGAATCTGGGATTAAAACCAACATGGGGGATTTGTTTTCACTGAGCTACCTGGGGAAATGGTATTACATATGCTTCAAGTTCTTCTGTGCCTTCTTTCCCCTGTGTCTGATATTTTTAATATCTATATACAGAAATAATTTCAACTTCACTTTTGGTTCATTTTTGCAAATCTTGTAAAATATCCATTATATCTATCAGTTTAAGTTGTCGTGTTTTTTTTTTTTCTTTTTGCATGCTGGCAGTGGAACTCAGGGTGACATTCTGCCACCAAGCTACAGCCTTGTTATCCAATACTCCCATTCATAAAGCACCTTCACACTGGTTATGTCCCCTACATAAGCCTCACAGTAGATATGGTGTAGTAGGAGGTATTGTGGACCGAGAGTCTGACAAGAATTCAAATAGCAGCTTCTGCTGCTTTTGTAGCTATGCGAATTGAGTGTTACTCAGCTTTTTTTGGTCTATAGTTCTTTACCTGTAATTTGGAAATGATAATGAAACCAGCTTTATAAGATTAAATGTTTAAAAAATGTGTATATGCAGTTTAAAATGTAAATGGCGTTATTTCAATTTATTATTAACAACTCAATAAGGGATAATGAATAGGTACAGATTCCATGTTTTGCATTTATTAAGATGAAATGCAGAAGCACTAAGTAATCTCACAAAATTATACAACTACAATCATTCTCCTCTGAGGTCTGGTTCCAACTCCCCTGTAGTCTTGAACAAATCATTTAACCTTTGTGAGAATTTGTTTCCTAACCTTTAAAATGAAGACAACAATTTTCTTCACTCTGTCCTTCATGTGAATATGTGAGACAGTTTATGTGGGAACAGTTTGAAACCTTGACAAACACGCAAGGGAAAATAAGGCAAACTCTAGTCATTAACTGGTAGTCTCTAAGCCATCAATTCCAGCACAGAAAAAGGCACCTGGGAGTCACTCAGAGAAATCAATTAAGAGATCTGTCCAGTAAATACATAGAGTCATTTAAAGCTAATATTATTTTTAGAGCATTACCACCACATTGACATTCATATATTTTCAATTTTGGGTTTGGGAGATAAGTGATTCTCAACCTGTATTAAATATCTTCTTTTTTCCATTTAATACATATAAACATGCATTCCTTGCAGCCAAGAAGCAATCTAAGCTGTCCCAGTGTTTAAAGAAAATTCTGCCAGTACTTAAAAGGAAGGGACTGACTTTCTGATGCCACAACTTTATTTTCTGAACTACAAAGCAATAAAATATTCCCCTTTACATGTAGCACACACATGTAATCTCAGCAGTGGATCAGCGAGTTTGAATTCAACAATTCTCATGTATGACATAGCTCTTTAAAATTTATTACCAGCATGACCTGCCAAGAGCTACATGATTCATTCTTCCTTTGAGACATTGTAGAGTTCCCCCAACTGTTCCCTGTGTATTTAATTAGATTAAATTAAGGCCCACCTTCCTTAGTCTTGGAAACTAAAGCTACTACTGACAGTGAAGCTTGCCTGCCTCATAACCTTCCTCTGATTTTGTGTTCCCTAAACCCAAAAGACTTCCGCTTTCTATTGTTGCCGCTTATTTTTCTTTTTGCTTTTACTTTGAGCTGATAGCATGCCACAGCAAGAACTCAAATGATATCTCCTGTGGGAATTTTAAAAAACTGTCCTCTTAGGTTGTGGCTGCCTCTTAGCATCCCACTGAAGATTAGAACATCCCAAAGATTTAATCAATTTCATTGGCTTTTTCTCAACTTTAGCATAAAAGTCACAACTCAAAAGTCGGGTGTTTCATCAAGTTAGAAGTTTCTGACAACTTCTCATCAGTTGCCTCAGGGAATAAGTCAGTTGGTGACAGCCTCATGTTGAAGAGTGCACATTCCCTGTCTCATTTGTACTTCTACCAGGAGTCAACACAGCCTTCCTCTGCTAAGTGAGAGGGTACGAAGTTAGGGGGAAAAGTTCCCATCTTTAAGGAGCTTTGAGACTATGAACATATATTGCAGACTGACTAATTCAGTAGTGAGTCTTTTTAATTGCTTTCTTTTCGTGGTTTATGTGTGCATGTTAGCTCCTGCTAATTTAACTGCAAAGGATGGTATGAGATGGCCTAAAGCCTTCTGCCTTACTCTAAGTGGCTTTACTTGCAGTTGTATGTATTATGGGAACTCTTTCTATATCACCTTTAAAAGATCTGTGTTTCTCTCAAGCTGACCTAGACTAGATGCTACACCTTGAATAATGTATAAAAATCAGAGCCTTAGCAGTATACATTAAGGTGATATCCCATTACCCTCATAGAAAGTTTAATGCCACTAAGCTGAAAGAAAAGGGACTTTATGATCACTAGTGTTCTTATAAAGAAAATACTGTAATTATCAAAACAGCTTTCACTCTAAGATAACAGAATACCATTTTATACTCTAAAGAACTGTTTTCAGATGAATAATCGAGTCATTCACACACCCTTGTTTTAGTACTCACTTGCATTAGCACTGGCTGTTGGCTTTAGCCACCCAATAGCATACTAACCCAATTTGCATGAACCTCATTTATATTTCCATTATGTATCACAATAGACAAACCTGTGTTTGTGCTTTTGTTTCAGTGTATTAGATATCTCAGAATCTAACTGCTGTGTAAGTGTGCAAGCTGTTTCCATGGCCTCTGCTCTTTTCTATTTCCTCCTGACCTCCTTTCCTGTTAATATTGAAAATCTAGGTAAATAGGATCCTTTTTCACATTTAATGAGGAATGCTGATATTCTAGCAATCATGTTACCATTGTAAAACAAGGTGAATTTAAGTCCACATAAATTTTTGCAAAACTGGTTAAATAATTAATGTGTAATGATTTATGGTTTGCTTACCTTGCAATGAATCGAAGCTGTCAACTGGTACAAAGTGATTCTTCCCATGCATTCCCTTCTGTCTCTGATTTCAGTTTCATTCTATCTGAAAATGTTTTTTGTTCTCTATTGGGGAGCTGTATGAATTTCCAAGTTTCAGAAGAAGTTGCCATTTTTAGAACAGACTCAAAGTCATAATAATACCACTTCAGAAAAATGACTACCAGTTCACTGTTGAAATATGTATTCTACATATTTACAATGGGCGACAGTGCCCATGCCACAGGAAATTTAGGACCACTTGATTTTTAAAAGTAGTCTATCAGTGACATGTCTCAATAGATTCCATGTAATGATTTACAAACACAAATTACTGAAACTGCTTTTGCATGCCATTCCCACCTTTTGGTTGCAGTACTGTATCAAGATGTCAAGATGAGAAATGGAACAAATCTGGGAGACAGCTATTACCTTTGTGTCTCTACTTGAGTAGCTCGGGATCCTTCCCCTGCCTATGGCTGTGTCTAAGCTATGTAAATTATCTTTTTCAGGTACATGCCACCTTATAGTCCTTTACTCTAAAGGTACTTTTTTTGAGCTTTTTAAATTTCATACAACATTTCCTCCTCAAATCCAGAACCCCTCCCCCATCTGTGTCTCCCCATGTTTCTCAAAGTAAAATTTTATGATCTAACAAGAAAAATGCAGAAAAGAAATATGAAATATTTTCATAAGGTTTTCCAAGAATTGAAAATCTCATGTTTCCTGGAAGTATTCTCTTTTACTGAATGGTCCTTCAAAATTTTCTTTAATATGGCACCCTGTAGCCTCTACTTATGTCTCTGCTTTTATCCCATATGTGTGACTTAGTATTGGGTATTTATAGAAAATAATGATAGGAGCCTCAGTTTCTTTGCAGGTGGAGGGCTCTGAGTTTTGTCGGTTTGCCTAACTGAGCAACTTAGAAAAAAATCTTCCCCTTGTTTTTTCTTATGTTTATTTTATTATCAACTAAAATAACTGGAGATTCTTATTTCTGAATTATTTTAAGATGTTTAGGTAAATTTTTCCCCTAAATCACTTATTATCTCTAGGGACATTTGAAACTAAAGACTTCTAGTTAATGCATATCAATGTAGTTATTGAAAATATTATGCTGTCTTGCCAAGCTGGAAGGAAACTGATACTTTGTGGATGCTGAGAATCCACAGGACATGCCTTAGTTTTCAGATCTTCCTGCCCAGGGATGTTTCTCTAGAATGAACACAATTTACTCTCCTGAGAAGCATAATAACTTTATCATGGTTAGTGACATGTGTGTGAATTGAGAGTCGGTCTCTGATTATACCCTCTGACAGTCTACATTTTTGTTAGGCATCGAGAAAGCCACAACTTTTCATGATACAGTAAATTGTACAATATTCGAATTTGCCAGTGTCAAACTTTGTTATAATCACCTTTCCAATAACAGCTCTGATAATAACTAAAAGTCAGACTCCTGAGAAATCCTTTTATTGTTCTCTGTGCAATGAGTTTGAGTAAGACATAGCAGATCTC